AATTATACTATATTATGATAAAATATTTAATTTTGAATCATTCAAAACAAATATGATAGAAAAGTGTTCAGAAAAAGAGAAGAAATGAATTTAAATACATTTTGCCACATTTAGAGAAGATGAATCTGTCGAGGCGAAGAAGAGGTAGAAAATTCTTCGTCTCTGCAACGTATTTCTACACCCAATAAAAGAGAAAGAAAGAAAAAATATATAGAAAAATAAAAATTGGTTATTTGAATATTTTATAAGAGGTGAAGCAGTTGACACCGAGTGGGAGGGATTTACTAAAGTCATTATGGAACGTGTGTTTGTTAAAAATAGAGATCTTGTTTTACAGTTACATAAATAAAATAGAGATCTCATTGTCTCAGGTTAAAGGTTAGTTATTTGCCATGTTTTGAAATTTCCTCTTATTTTTTAAATTCATTCAAGTGTTTTGTTTTTCATTTTTCTGGAAATTTTGTTTTAGAGATTTTCCACTTGTCAGGCTAGGATTGGCGTGCGACTTGCGCTTTAGTATATAAGGGATAGTAGTTGTTGAATTTTCAAGAATTATCGAATTGATTCTCTGTTCTTACATGCTTCTTTTGCAGTGACTATCTGTTCAAGCTTTTGCTCATTGGTGTTTCTGGTGCTGTCAAATCATGCTTGCTTCTAAGATTTGCTATAAGTTATTGCATCTCTCACTTTCTCTTATACTGGGACACTATTACATGTTCATGTAGATATTCACATTGATGGACCGACGCACGGAAATGGAATCCCAAAAGTATTTTCACTATTAAGCAACAACGCTACCCTTTCTACGCTGAACTTCATAAAATAATCAATAGCTGCAAACCACCTCCTGCCACTCCTTCACTCTCCTGCTGAGACGTAACGGTGCGTTGTAATGACAATTAATCAATTTATCTCACTATTTATTTTTTTATTCAGTTTTCAATGTCTTCTAGATCATTCGGAATGAGTATATATATACAGAGCGTGTGAAATACCTTCCTGGATCACTTCGTCTTTAGGAAACCATGGTTTAACGTATTTCTTGAAATTCCTCCGATAATGGCTAACTCCCACCTTCATTTCTGGTTCCCTTTTATTTAACTTGCTCACTTCTGATTCTCTTTTATTGATCGCAGACCATTCTCATTCTGGACCATGCAACAACTTCTAAAAGAAGGAGCCATGTATGAGCTCAGTAGCTTCGATGTTACAAGGATTAATCAAAACTTCAGACTCACCCGTTTTTATCAGATTCAATTATAAAACAATTTTTTAAGATTCAAAAACCATCAACCCTATTCCTACCGAGGTGTTCAGGTTCCGTACCTATGAGAAGATGATGTTACTGGGATGGTAAGGTAAGCCATGCTCAACCTAAGTTCACTCTAACTTTAAACTGCAAAGAAGAAAAACCTAAACCTAGCACCAGTTAACCAAATGTCAACTATGTATATTATGCAGGTACTGTGTGCAGCTGTCATTCTTAGATGTTTCAGAGTCTACCGTGTTTGTGGCATTCGATGGTGAAAAGACAAACTGACTAACGTTCATACTGTAAAACCTACCAAATCTTGTAACTATTTTTTTTTACATGTGATGAAATAATAGCTAGATAACAATATGGCCCTTGGTTGCTTGGGTGTTCTTTTTTTTTTTTGCTTTGGCTATAATTAAGTTTCCAATGTTGAACTACTGGAGGCGGAGAACAAGCTCTTGGCAGCGGACGACCCATCTTCTTATGAGGCACCTCACTCTCATCATATACGAAATGTGTAGCCAGGACTATGGTTGCAATGAACAAGGTAGTGATCACACTTTGCTTCACTTACTACTTTGATAATCCTGTCACTTCTTTTTTCACATCTTTAGGAAATGTTACCCACGAAACAAACTAACGTAATCAACAAATTCTAAAACCATTTTGCTCAATTGGATATGACGGTAACAAAAATTATATTCATTTCTAAGAGCATAATACTCTGAAATTTTGGTTTAGTCACAAATATTGATTGTGTCATGTTTCTTTTTAATGTATATATTTAAATATATTATAAGTTCAAAAATGGATGAAAAAAAGAAAATAAAATTTAAATATCTTCATTTATTTGTTATATTTTTTATAAAAACACAAAATAGTTTAAAATCATTCAAATATATATTATTCTACAAAATCCGGAGCGTAGCGCGGCAAACCGCTAGTCTTATTATATAAAGTAAGCTTTTCTCTCATATGAAATTGCCATGTCACTAATTCATCTCTTCTCAACATGACATGTGTCATGATTCTTGGTTAATCTTTTAATTTTTTTGTTTCTTTGTCGATATATCTCTAATTAAAGGTGTTTATGGCATCATTCAATGAATCTCACTTTTTCTACCTATTTACTGCAATTTTACTGGTGTCCATAAAAATATTATATATAGCATTTTGGTTAATCAAAAGTATCTGAGAAATATCAACATCTAGCGTTTATTATTTTCACCAAAGTTTTTCAAAAAGATACCTCAGATACTTTTGATTAACCAAAACGTCTTTGGCATCAACTAATGATGAACAAAGTGAATCGCAACTGAAGATTAGATAAAGAAATCGTATTGCCTCGATCGCCGCTAACTCGGTTGTACGCATGAAGAAACCGAAACGTTTCTGAGGATTCCTGATAGGAGGAGAGCCACCACGAGTGGTCTGACATAACCCATCAATCGAATATACAGAAATGTATAAATGGCTTTACAATGGCCTGATCAGATATTTGTTAATTTTATTGAATAGAGTTATTTACTACTAGCATTTAAATTAAAACTAAGTTCAAAGAAATACTAAAAATCAACAATTATTGGTTTTGGATTACGTAGAGTAATAAATCTTATATTTTTGTTACTAGAAAATAATAATTCTTAAAGTTACAAATACAAAGTAACAAATGGGCTTTATAGCTCGATCTATTTTATTAATAATCATACATTTCTTTTGCAAACTATAGTTTCTTCTCAAATTATGTATTGACTAACAAAAACAAATTAAATAATGTATTTTCATTAAAACTGTATACTACTCCCTCTATTTCTTATTGTAAATAGTATTAAAAAAAAATTTGATTCAAAATATAGGTAATTTTCTTACATTTAGATAACTTTTACATGTACTAGATATAATGTGACCAATCAAATAATGTCTATTTTTTTATAATTAGTAAATTTTATTAATTAAATATCATGTTCTAAAATATAACAACTTTCTTAATATTTGAAATATCAAATGTTTTTTAGAATTTTGAATTTTTTTTCCAATTACTTATAACGTGCTTACCCGCCCGTAGGGCGGGTTCTACCTAGTTTAGTATAAATGAAAATAATACTTCAAAAGATATTTAAACTATTGTTAGTCTTAATAAAAAACAATTGGTCAAATGAATTTGTGTTTGATAGAATAGTACGATGATCATAGAAATTTAATAAATTTGTTTGCTTAACCAATGTTGAGTTTTATTTTAAACACTGAATACAAAAATATCTGAGAAAGAATGATTTGTGATTTGACAAAATTATGAAAATTTTGTAAATGTTTTGCATATAACTAAAATAAAGCGGTAGAAAAAAAATGCGAAGACTGGAAAGTGTTGTAAATAGTTTTTTTGCTCAATAATCTTCAGTTTTGTGTTAATTAAAAAGTCTGTCATAAAAACTCTTTAAAAAAAATAGATTAAAATTTATATTCAAGATTGACGCTAAGACTAACTTCAGAAAGGATTACGAGTACAAAAGTCAGTCACTATATCTCAAAACTTTTCTGTTTTTTTTTTCTTCACTCTCAAAACTTTTTAAAAATTATACAATACCCAATTTTTTATTTCCAAATTATTTAAGTTAAAAGGTTATTTTAATACTCTTTAAATGTTTGCACTGGAGCTGCTCTTAGACATATATTTGATTGACAGAGCATAAGAATAAGCATTCTGTTTTTTATTATTCAATAGATATTTAGAAAAGCATCCACTAGATGCTATTACTCTTTAAATGTTTGCAATGGAGCTTTTGAATGAATATTTACATTTAGAATATATCTAAATTAAAAAAAATAATACTAATTAATAGTTACAGTTAAATATTTTTAATTTTTTATCAAAATAAGATTTGTAATTTAAAATATAATTTAATTTATATAATTACACATATCCTTCATTATTATTATTAACAAAAAAATATTTAAATTTATTTTTTTTAATAAACAAAAATAATTACACTTACCCTTCATATATTAGTTTTATGATAATTTTATATATGAATCATTTACCGCTTTACCAGTAAATAAATGATAGAGAATTAAAACTTTACCGCGATCCACATCTATAACACACCCTAGTCTTTTTAGTTTATTTTCACAAAAATAGCTTTCAAGGAGAAAAATGACCAAAATATTTTTTTATAAAAGGGTAAGTATGGACATAACCCTTGGATTAACTAATCTAGACTCAAGATTTAGAGTTATGGGGTGGAGTTTTGAGTTTAGTATTTCAAATTTAAGAAAAAATAAAAAGAAACATTAAAAATTTGAAAAGAAAAGATTATTTTGGCCATTTTATTTTTTGAGGGCTATTTTTATGACAAAAATTTTAAAAAAGCTATTGGAGAGAATTTCCTTAAATAATATTATTATATATAGAAATTATATATAATTAATTTCTTTTATTAGTTATATCCAAAAATTGAGTTATATTTTAAAATAAATGTTAAAACTTACAAAATAATATTTCACATATAAATATTATAATTTATATAATTGAATAAGATTCATTCTTTTTAATATTAAATATATCATTAATATTATATATATATATATTAAAACAAAATATATTATATATAACTTTTATGAGAATTTTAAAATTTAATTCTACTAATCAATTTATTAAAATTTTAATTAGAGCATAAAATATCTGCAGTATAATGCTTCTTCAACAATATAATGCAAATGGTACCAATTGAAGCTTTAGTCTGATGAAGCATCTTAAAAAAAAAAAAGGTCAACTCCTCTGATTTACACTTTAACGGCCTGAATTTTGTGTATGTAAACAGAAAGAGTAATACACTTCTTGTTTTGTTTTAATTTTAAAATCTAAAGCATCATCATTTTCTGAGTTTCAACCCTCCAATTAACCCACAGCAGCTCCTCCGCTTGAAGGCTTGAAATTCTGTACGACGGAGACTGTAATTTCCGATTTTGTCGTAATATTTTCTTCCTCGTCATACAATTCTATAGATCCGAAATGAATGAATGCACGGATCAAATTAGGGTTCCTGTTTATTTGCATCAGGATCAGTAGAAGGGTGCTGATGGAAGGAGATAATCTGATAGAAGATCGTGGCTTTGTGGCCGCTCCTCTGACATTCTTCGTCGTCGTCGTCTTCCAATTGATATCAAAGTGGCTCGACCAGTTGAAGAAGGTAACAGCGAGACGTTTTGGCATTATCACCTCTGTCTGAGTGATCCATTAGAATGAATTCACATTGGTCTGAAATTGATGCAGAAAGGGTCGAAGAAGACGAAGGAAGCAGAGCTGCGATCAGAAATTAAGCAGCTTTTGAGAGAGGCCACTGCATTGTCTGAGTAAGCACTTTGTGGTTGTATGTGAGTTCTTGTTGATGAGAGATTTTATCTGTGGGTTTTCTCGCGCAGTCCAGCCACGTTTGCGCAAGCAGCTAAACTTAGGAGGACAGCAGCTACTAAAGAGAAACAACTTGCACAATGTTAGTATTCATTCAGACTCTATACTGATCTTAGGTTTTGATTGTATGATGCTTTAGGTGGTTAGATTTAGAAATGGTTTGCAATTCTGGTGGGCAGATCATATGCCTACCACAGCATTGCAATCTTTTTGGGTCTTGTATGGATCTTCTGTTAATGCGCTTTGTGAAAATTCAGATATGGAGCATCATAACAAAGAAATAAACCTATCATACGATCTGTATGGGAAGGTTCTGCTTGCTTCAAAGGTAAGTCAAGTTGCGTCTTCATATTTTCTTTCCGGAAACTCCATATGTCACATGTCCTAAGGATTTTTTTTTTTCTATAGGTTGTGGTATACCTAATTTTGGTACTTTGGTTCTGGAGGACTCCGATTGCCATGATTGCTAAGCAACTTGTTCAACCCTTTGGTGAGTTAGTTATTTAGATTTACCGGTTAGGTACAAGGCTAGATTTAAAATAATAAAAAAACTGAGTGTGGTGTCTTTCTCAGGGAGGTTGTTATCTTGGGGAACAGGAGGTCACTTGACAGGCCATGTGATGGTAGGTTCCTTTGCTTTCTCAGTTCATTGCTTTGGGCTGTTGTTGTGAGAATGGGAGTGTCGGTTGTGTGAAAATGCAGGTTGGGATCATACCGTGGCTGATTCTCTCAACCAGAGTGAGCAAATATGTGTGCAAGTTCGTGGAATTCTAAATCACATTCCTCAAGAAAGTGAGAAAAGTTTGAGTTTAAAGTTTTGTAGCCTTTTAGGAGACACTTGTGCCATAATTGTTCTTTTCCTCGTCTAACTTGGCTTTTTTGTACATTATATGGATCCTATTCTCCGGTTTATACTGGAATTTTACCAATAACAATGGCATTGAAGCGTATTGAAGGACGAAATATGGGTTTGGTTTAAAAGGGCTAATTGGTAGATGTGAAGTGTAATAAATAAGAAGAGAAAATGGTTTTCATTTAATACTACTAGTATTGTAGTACAGCATGTGTGTGTCTGTGGCCATCCAAAGTCCCATCTTAGAAATTCAAATTAACCTTCTTTACTTTCTTTTCCACTTTCCTAGAACATTAAAAGACAAACATGGAGTATCATAATCCTTTTGATTAAAGATCCTAAACTTCATTGTGATATTTCACTTTCATATTAAATGAATCCTTAAATACGCTTACAAGAGCTTTTCTACCACTTGGCAGCTTCTGGGACTATGTTTCTGTGTCCTTATCAATGTAATGAGTTCCGACAGTAACTACACTATTAGCACAAAATCTTATTTTAAATGTGAAGTTCGAAAGCGTCTTCTTTTTTTTTTATAAGTGAGACATTGAGCAACTCTTTTTAAAGACTGTTCAACCCAATTAGTCTTTTTCTTTCTCTCTGGTCTCTACGGTGGTCTGTACGGACTGTGTTCTCCGAAGTTTATACTTTTAAGGGTACGAATGAGTTATTTGGGGGTTGGAAGCAGTCCTGGAAACGTAGCTGTCTACCACGGGGGCAAGATGAAGCTACTTGATCGGAGACTGAGGCTAACGGAGCTGCTCTTAAGGTGCTCGGCCACTGTCCTCGCTCTACTGGCTCTTATTCTGATTGTTACAGACACTCAGGTCAAGCAAATCTTTACAATTGAGAAGAGGGCCAAGTACACCGACATGAAGGCCCTTGTGTTAGCTCATCAAAACCACTTTTTTTTTTCCAGTTTTAGTAACCCAACATCATTTTCACTTTGTAAATTTGGCAACTTTTTTTGTTTGTTGTTTGTTGTTTGTTGGATGCAGGTTCTTAGTGGTCGCCAATGGGATAGCTGCAGCTTATTCTTTGTTGCAGTCAGTTCGTTGCGTGGTGGGTTCTATGAAAGGAAGCGTCTTGTTCAACAAGCCCCTTGCTTGGGCCATTTTCTCCGGTGATCAGGTGAGTTGAGTCTAGTCTTGTGTTTCTTTCTCTATACATCTTGTTGTTACCAAAAGTAGCTGTGAAAGTTTGTGGGTTTGGGTTTGTCGTTTTTGATTTCTCATGGTCGGCTTGGGGGCAGATTAGAGAAAAGTCTTACAAGCATTTAATGGGTTTTGGTTAGATATCAGATGGGGTGTACTTTTAGGTAGATAATGTTGCTTGTTTATATTCAAAACTGAGTCTAGGAGACTAGGTCGTCTTGGCATTATAAGAGTCTAATCTTGCAGTGTAATGGGTGTTAGGCGATGGCTTACATGAGCGTGGCAGCAATAGCAGCATCAGCAGAGTCTGGTTTGATTGGTATAAGAGGCGAGGAAGAGCTGCAATGGATGAAGTTGTGCAATATGTTTGGCAAGTTCTGCAACCGAGCGGCTGGAGGAACCGCAAGCGCCTTGCTTGCCTCTGTTGCTATGGTTTTCGTCTCCTCCATTTCTGCTTTTAGTCTCTTCCGGTTGTACGGTTCCACCCAAAGACAGCCAAACGTTGCTGTGATGAAGTAAAAACATCTCTTTGTGTTTGGTAGTGTTGAAATGTTGTCGTTAAGAATCCAAAAAGAATAGTGAGAGTGCAGGTCTTTTGTTTTTGCTTTCGTATATCATCTTCTTCCTCCTTGTGTTAAACCGATGGTGTTCTCTGTGACATATTATATATGTAAGACTGGACCTTAGTGTTCTCTGTATCAAAAACAAAACTCTGTGGTTAAGAGAAGAGCATATACCTCAATCCTGTCAAGTCCATGTGCCGGTAAGCCAACTTCACTAGTTTGACTTAATCTAATGTGACCAACCATGTGAGAATAATGTGCAAAGGTTTCATGTGAATCAAGGTTAGATACGTTACGCTGAAAAGCGGCTTGGCTCATTGTTCTGGCGTATGTCTCTTTTGTTAGTCCTCAGCAAACTATTGGAGCTGCAAGCAAACAGCTTGTGTATTTATTATGGGAGATGAGTGAGAGAAGCTCCCTGCTCAGTGTTATATGTAAAGACAAATCTCAACATGATATAAAAGTAACAATTACACGCTCCTATTAAGCCAGAGTTTGTTTTGGTTGGCTAGTAATAGTAGTACATTGATACAACCCCAATAACACACTATTACACTTTAACATAGCAAATTACTACTGTGAAAGAGAGGCGAGGAGCTTGTCCTTCAACTGCTCAGCGGTGCAGCCACTCTGAGGCCGGATAGTGAATGTATGAACCACACCTTCCTCACTTACAGCCACGTTCGTATCATGAGGCGTAACTTCATTTTCCCTAAATGTCTGTATCGCCTTAGAAACTGGATGAGTCTCCAACGGACAGCTTACCCTCACCACAGCGTCATCATGCCTCTGTTGATAATCAACATCTGCTGGAGTGATCTGATTACTCTCCCTCCTCTTCATTATCTGCTTCTCCGTCTCATACACCCTTATCTTCTTCTGCATATCAGTGATGTAAGTGATTGCATCCGCAAGGAGAGAAGCCTTATCCATCTTGGAGATGTTAGGCACCACAGCTCTCAACGCGTAGAATCTCTGGTTCAGCTTCTCCCTCCTCTGCCTCTCCGCTTCAACATGGTTCAAGGCCTCTTCTCTCCCGTTTGCTGGCTTCCTCCCTCTCTTCCTCGGCTTCTGCTCGTCAGTTAGATACAACGCCGCCTCGTCTTTCCCTTGCTCATAACCATACACTTGATTCGAACCTCCAACCTCATATGCGTCCAAGGAGAAACCAGAGTCATCCTCCATCTTAGGTGAGAAGTTTATACTCATTGACCGTGGTTTCGACCCGCCGAGACTCAGCTGTCTACCAAAGATCTTGGTAGCTTCTTTAGCCTGAACAAAGTCAGATCCACCAAACACTGATTTCACCATCTCAATCACACTCTTATCCTCCGGAATCAGTTTCAAGGAACCAAGCTCCACAACACCACAGTTCACTGGTACAGACAAGACAGTCTTGAAACCAGCAGATCTAGCTAAAAAGGACCTAACCCTGTAGTAACTCAAACAGCTAGGCAAATCCGCAGCCCATAACGGCTTCCCAGACACATAAGTTCCAGCAGGACCGTACTTACTCGAATCACACCTAAACGAAAAGTACAAAGAAGCAAGATAAAACATGTCGAGATCAGTAAGAACTCCCTGTTTCCCCAGACGAGGATCTTCATCCGAACCGACAAAGGACAAGTGAAGCTTGCGAAGCACACGCCTCTTGGTCTCATCTTCTTCTCCTCCTCCTGAGTTTCCCTTTTGGGCACGGTAATGACCGTCTCCCCAGATCAGGACACAACCATCGGAGCTGTTGACGTTGGAAGCTAGCCAGAAGAGAGCGTAGTCCCAATCGGAGCCTTCGACGACGTGACGTAGGCCTTGTTGGAGATTAGGATCAGTTGGAGGAGGGACAAGCTTGGTGAGGGAAGTGTTTGATGAAGAGGAAGAAGCAGATGAGATGAAAAAGTCGCAAGCTTCTGAGCCTATGGTGGATTCCACCATCGCTCGATCTTCTTGATTCTCCCAGAACTTTTGAGCAGCCATTGCCATTGATTCTCCTACAACGTTCATTGAAAATGGATGGTTAGGTTTTAAAAAATCAGAGAGATGGAAGAAGGAGACTCACGTGTTTCTTGTTGGGGGCACCGAAGTTAGGGTTTGCTGATGTAGGAGGGAGAGAAGGGTAAAGGGTTTTTAAAGTTTGTATCTTTAATTTCTTTTGCGGAGAAAGTATTGACCACAGAGAGGACAGAACATAAGCTTTGATTTTACTCAGATCTGTACTGACTTCTGATGATATGGCGAAGAGAGAAGAAACGAGGAAGATGCGACGATGGGTTGAAATTGAATCGTGTCTGAATTAAAACAATTCCCTCTGTAACTGCAAACGTTATTTACCTTTTTTAACAAACACCCCTTAGTTAATTACACGTGTGGTACGGTATCTAATCGAAAATAGGCTGAGGGTTTGGGTAGTTCGGTTTTTTTGGTTAGGATTTTTTGATATTCGGTTGGTTGGGTTTATTTAGTTTGCTTTGGTTAACAAAAATTCTACCCCAATTCTAACCTGCCGGTACGTCTTGCGCCATACTTCTCCGGGAATTGAAACCCTCCTGGTTAGAAACTGCGTAGCTTGGGATTCGAACTCCAGAATTAGTGTAGAAGCCTTTAAACTTTAATTACTAGGCTACGGTGCTTCGACAACAAAAATTCTACCTTAATCAACCAAATTTCCAGTTTCATTTTAGTTTTTGATTAAAAGCTGGTTTTCGGATTATTTCAAGTTTTTACGTAAATTTTCCTTTTTAGGTTATTTTTTATTTTACTGTTCAAAATTGAGTTAGTTCATTTTATTTAGTTGAAAATTTTACATAGACGTTATGTAGGAATTAATAGTAAAAAAAAAACTAACTGAATATTGAATTGAAATGAAAACCAAACTTAAAGAATAAATTTCAGGCCCAGTAATAGCATTTGAAAGCGATTGCGTTTGAGGCATTTCGATGCGAATCGTCTCTGTGGTGTTGTGTTAACTGGATGGAAATGATATGCAATACTACGATTATATACATTACCATGACATGTAATGTAGGGATTCACATTGTTGTAGTTTCGTATATTTTGTTGAATTCAGTTCATTTAAATTTGAGACTTCATTTATGGCTATTTCACAAGACATAAAAGTACTATCCTTGTTTTGCATAGAGTATGTAATATAGATCTCACATGGGTCCATGTTTCAACTGTTCCAAGAAAAATTGTAACGAGCCGACCGTCCATTGCTACTGGATCTCTTATGCATGTTTACTCGACTCGTGACCTTGTTATGTATGGTAGGGGATGGGTTCATAATTTTATACGCTCGAAATTCTTGTTTATTGACTCTGCAATACCTCATGAACTCTTTCTGTGCTTTGTAGTCACTTGCATGATATCACAAATCACCCGATAAGTCATTCATCCTTATACTACTCTAGCTAAATGAGTGTATACCCAAAAACGTAAGTGCATTTTGGTGACATAGATAGCCAAATCAATTCTTTAAAGCCTTTTCTATTTACAACAAACCGAGATGTTACAATTCACCAACTCTAAAAAACACACATCGTTCTCGTTCCGTCCAAGATTGTTACCCATGTTAGTGGGAACCCATACATGACTCCACACTAGTCTGACTTCGGCTTTGGTATCACTTGTAATGCACCGTCCACGGGCCGAGTAAACGGACACGAGAAACCCATTAGCCGTGAATGATAGTAGCGTTACAAACATCTCCTGCAAATAAATAAGCAATCATGTGAAGAACACAATACAAAATATCAATAAGATTTATTTCAATTTAAGAAATGTGAGGCTTACGAAAGAGATCCCACTAATTACTAGCCATCGCCATTCACCAATCAGGTTGGTATTGCTATCTTGGCTGAATGGAGTATGGTCTTACAATATGAATGATAAATTATTCTTAATGTGAGTGCAACACATCACTACAAGAAATGTGAGTAATAATAGCATCGTAGCATAGCGGTTTTGGCATTTCTGCTATAGTATACCAATACTGGCTTTTTTAATAGCGTTTATAAATTTGAAACACTATGATAAGTATCGCGGGGAAATAAAAAAAAGTTAGCCGCGTTAATTTGCTAAGTGTTGGCTCCAATAATTAGGAAAAAAAATATTTTACCACCAAAACACTTATCAGATTCAGTGAGATGGCTCAATCTCATCCTCTCTCTCTCTCTCTCTCTCTCTCTCTCTCTCTCTCACACACACACACACACACACACACACACACACACACACACACACACACAAATTGGATGCGTTGGAGGCTCATCGAAGAGGTTATTCTGTGAATCGAAAGGGGAATCGAAGAGGCTGTCTATATCTCTCTCTCTCAGTGGCTCCCGGGAACCGCATGCATCTGAATCGAATCGAAGCAGCTGCATCAACAATCAAAAGGTAAAATCGTGGTTATTTGGTGATTGTGTTGTGATTTGAGAAGGGAAAAAAAGCTTCTGACTTTGTTTAATTTTGGTTCTCTATCTCTCTCTCGCAGAGTCTCAGTTGGTAACAGAAACCACATGAAACAGAGTCGAACCGAGACAGCTGAGTCGAATCAAAAGGTCATGAATCTATGTGTCTCTTTGTTGTTTTG